TTTTAAAAATTAAATATAATTAATATGTTGGAATATAAATAAATACATTAAATATTTATTTACATAAATTATTTTATGTTCGAAAGAGTTTTATTCATCTATTTTTTTGGTATTTTAAAAAATGTTATTTTTATTAACAATAAAAATAATTTTCAAGTAAAAAATTATATAAATACTGAACTTATAAATTTATGTTTAAGTGCCTAATTTTAGACCAATAAAATCATCATATGCTTATATAAATTTTAAAATCAAAATAATTAGTTGACCTAACTTAATCTATAATATATATTATATTATAATTATCATAGAAGACTACAATTAGAGAAACAATCATTGCATCACATATTTTCCTTTACTTTAAACGAAATATCAAAGAAACAAAGATAGTGTAATTATGACTTTTTTAATATCAGTTTCTCATATTTTTAGACATCAAACACGGTTAATGCACTTTTTTAATTAAGCAACGTTCTTAGATATGTGAACCCTAAGTGTTCCATTATAATTTTTTTCATCATATTACTATGTTTTCATTTTGATTCATATATATTTTAATATAATATATAAATTATTTACAAGTAAATTTTTACGCTGACAAATCAATGTAAAATTTTCACAAAAAAAATTAGTAACGAAGAACCAAATCGACACTGAAATGACAGTCAGTTAATATGTTAGCGGTGTAGAAAAATACAGTAAACAGTATTAAATAATTGTGGTCGACGTAATGAGCAAAATGTAACGGTTAAAATGACGTATTGAAAAATCAAATTTAAATAGTATTACTAAAAGAAAATAAAACTTTACTAATATTTAGTCAAATGTAAAATAGTAGCCTTTATATCATTCCACTTCATTACGCAAAAAGGCAAAATCAAAGAAAAAATAAATAAAACACAAGGGATGTAAAAACAAAGTAAACCCTAACCTTCAAAATTAAGTGTACAATAACGGTCAACCAAACAGCACGACTGTCGTGTCGTCTTAGTTTATTTTTCAATTCGTTCAATGTTTGCCAAGCGGTTCGTCAAGCTTGTTATACATTTTATTTCTCTATTCAACAACAATATTTTTCTGTAGTCACGGAAAAATATTGTATGTAAAACTCTGCAAATACAGATGCATTTGAAATAAATGAAAAACAGTTATTTAAAACACGACCAGAAGTATAAATAAACAATTTATTTTGTCAATCAATTGACCAAACAAACATTTAACATATCTCGCTATATTCAAAATAGAAGCTATCACAATCAACTTGTAACTGTATACACCAAATACACATGAATTTTAGTCGTTTCTTCTTTTATATTATAGTTTTATGAAAACAAATGAAGGACAATAAATTGATAAAGTGACAAACGAAGAGTTTACCAAACATTGTATAAAATAATATCAATACTACACAGAGCTACCGGATTTCGACTTGAGTCTTTTGAGTAGTGCACAAGGCCGAAAATTCAAATTAATGCTCATAAACATAATACCCTTTAAGAAGGACACTGATATGGTTGCCGAAATCCAAGGTAAAAAATAATTCAATTTGATTTTCACTCATATACATAAAAAAACATTATGCCTTTGATAAATACCAAACTAATAACTTGATAACCAGCTAAATTATAAATACTCTCACGAACGTAAATGTTTAAGAAAAAAAAAGGATAATGATAAAACGGGACCTCGCTCAAGTGTAAAACAAATTTGATTTATTACAATTCTAGTTACACTATATACGCTGCGATTGTAACAACATTTTTAACATGAAACTACAAGTCACAATACTTCACAGACACGAAACCTGCATAGTGAACCGGTTTTCTTTCTTCTTCACTTGGGGTCAATGTTATAATAAATGGATGAATATAATAAAGAAGTACCTAATTTTTCGTCAGTTACACTTTGGTTAAAATTGCAATTATGGACAATAAATAAAAAAAAGNTGGATGAATATAATAAAGAAGTACCTAATTTTTCGTCAGTTACACTTTGGTTAAAATTGCAATTATGGACAATAAATAAAAAATAGTAAAATAATAATAAAAGTAGGATATAATTTATTTTAAAAATTTTAGCTTGAAGATATGTACTACAAAAGCAAAAAAGAAAAAATATTATTATATGTTTTAGCTATTCATTAAGTTATTAATAATATATTATTTTTAACATATTGAATTATACCAAAATAACAATTAAACAATTATATAAATTATTAAAGTTATGATGATTAAAATATAAAATCAATGATAATTTTGAAAATAATTTATTTTATATTTTAATAAAAACAGGAAATCAAAAAATATTAATCAAGCTGAAACAGAGCATTAAAAAATGCAACAAATAATCAGTATATTATGTCATTCAAATAACCAGTAAGGTAGTACATAATAACTGAATAATATTAAAACAGCAAAAAAAATTCGTATATAAATCGTATTTTATTTAGTAAAAATTTATGTATGACTCATATGGTATTCGTCATTTGTTTACATTTACAATATAATTGATTTTAGTATAAAATAAATAGCGTTACTAAGATTATCCCCAACGACTGGTAATAATTTTTACTAATGAGTAATCATGAATATAATACATTATAATAATATAAATACAGACATACTTATGAAAACTTAAATTGTGAGTTGATATTTACAGCTCTATAGAAGAATAAAAAAAAAAATTAAAAAAGGAACTGTAATCATTTATATGTGTCCTTGTTAAAACAGCTCATATCAACATAACTACTAGAGGCAGAGAGATACTACGATACTCATCCTGTACTGTTTATGAAGTTATAAATAACAAATGAAAAGTTAACTTGTTTAACGAATCCAAAGTATATATCTGCATTAAAACAATCGTAAAAACCTAATGAAAACGTATGTCTTATTATTAAAATGTATGTCTTAAATGCGTAATTTGATGGTTATTGATATACAGTACAACTGACATTTGATACTAATAATATGACTCAAAATATTTTAGGGGTACCGTTTTGAAAAATTCTCCTTGACGTAGTGACACAAAAAAATATATTAATTAGATGAAGTATACTGTACTTGTATAAACTTTAAATTTAATCGCTAATTATTGTATACGAAACATGATTAATTGCAAATTATATTGCAATGAACAATGGAAATTTTAAGATAACGGTATATTTTAAAACCACAGTTTTTCTCACAATTAACACTTATATTCCTTTTAGCTTTAAATTAATTTCTATAAAACATTTTAACTATCATATATAAGAATTTCATTGAAAATGTATCAATTAGTTGAACGTAAATATGAATAGCTTTAAAACAGCCAGCTACTTAATTATTTCAATAGAAATATTTATACATTCATATTTTTATTATATTTTTTATATTTTCCTAAAAACAACAAGCATTCCCCACGATTAAAAATTACATGGTAAATAAATAATTTATAATAGTAATACTAAGATCTAAACTAAATTATATAATTATAAATTATAAATTATATACATATAATTAGGTTAAGGTATGGTTTTTCTATAGGTGCATAAGTGTCGAAAAATTTGTTTATAAAACTAACGTTCTAATAAAACATTTGAAAAATTATAAACATTACTATAATATTTTATTGTACTAGTATTACTAATTATTATTTGAGTGTCGTTAATCAATGTTATTACATAACTATTTTTTATCATTCATAATTATGCACAACTATAACAATAGTACAAAAAAATTGTACTTATAATTACTTTAAAATTTTTGTGAAAAATCCAAAAAACGATAAAAAAATTTATATCACAAACACTAAGGTTGTTAAGATAAATAAAATACAACTGATATCACGAATTTATGAGGATATAACTTTTAGTTAACGTTAACACGCAATGAACTCAGACCACCTATATGACTATTTATATTCACGTACTTAAAAATGGACACACAAATCCACAATATTGAAATCAAATAGGACACAGCTTAACATTCTATTAAGGGTAAGGTTATTCACATTCTGGGGTTAATAAACTTTAGGTCGAACATGAAATTCATTTTTTGAAATATTAGCATTTAACCGTAAACTTAGATATAGTGTAGAAACATTTCAGATAAACTTAAAGAAAATTTATTTTGACTTTTCAACATGACCAACAATCTATTTACAATTTAATTGTACAAGCAAATTAAGTTGTATTAATATTGCTTTCAAAAAACAATAAATAAAACAATTTAAAAATTAATTGAAAAAAAATACTCTCTCATGATTAATATCTTGGAGACTATAATTTAAACATCAACTAAATATATAACTTTATCATAATAACTGGAATAAAAAATAACTTATAAAACATTATGCTTTTATAAAGTGGTAAACGAGTGCAAATTACAACTTAAATTTACAAAGACAAAAGTTTACGTAGACATTAAATGTGATATAGTAAAGATCATTATTAAATGTAAGATGTATTTATTTTTACATAATTCGGGTTTTCTTGGTCTATTGTTGACAATACACGATTTAAAGCCATTCTTATGAATGGTATTATTGACTATTTATATGGACACGGATTACTACTTAGCTGGTACTATAGAGTAAGAGTCGAAATTTAAGCACAAGGATTCAAGTGAGTAGTTTCACGTTATCAATCAAATGTTGATGAATTTACGGATCTAGAACTGAGATAGCAGAGAAAGCCCAGTTTTGTGAGCTAATCCTAATCTTGTATTAAAATATTAAAAATCGATTTATAAATTTAAAAAAATATGACTAGTGATTTTTATTAATTGTTCGATCAAGTTTATTAAGTTTAAATAAAGAGTCTAAACTTTAAATATTTCGATAAATTAAAAATCATTACGACAAAATTAAATTTATTAACAAAGTTGTAACTTAATTTAAAAGCCAACATTGAAATGACCTATTCTAACGAAAACTTGATATGTGATATTTAAAAATCAAAGTTCTGTGTAATATTTTTGATATGAACTTTAACAAATTAATAAAAAAATAAAACTTACAAAAGCTTTCAAAAAATCAATTTTGTTGTAAACCGTACGTAAAGTAACGCACACAGTACTTTATTAAACTTAATAGTTAGATGGTCGACATTTGAGATCAAAAATGATTTGTAATACTGAATACTTAAAAAAGCACAAAAACGGTTACAAAAAATATATATTAACAACACTGAGCGCTAACAAACCTATTCAACGGAACGCAACGACAAGACTAAATAGCCGGCAGTTAATGCAAAGTGGAATTTACAGTATAGCAGAATACCAATAAAAGTGATAGCGCCACTATGAAATTCTCCGAAAAGCAGTAATGACTGCAGTGTGACCAACATAAGATGCTCAGTCATTTCAAAGACTACTCAACTTCACATCAGCAAATCATCTGGCGGTAAAATCAATAAATTAAGATTGTAAACCAAAACTTTGTTTTTCAATAGCAAAATATTGTTTATTTATTTGATTAGTGCAAAAATTTTATAATCTCACTAATGACTATTAAGAAATTCTATATTATTTAACAGTACATAAGCAAAAATACATCACATAAGAATAAGACGATATTGTAAAGGATTCTAGATTTTAAAAGCCGGTCCATTAATATTTTTTGTAATTACTTAACTTAAAAAAAAAACAATTATTAGCAAATATAATACATAATATAAACATAATAAGAAGATATGATGTATATTTACACCTAGAATATTTAATTAATAACTCCATTGCAGCTCTATGATAAAATATTTTATTATTTTTAACAATATATTAATAAACGTTTAATTAATTCAAATAAAAATTCAATAATATTTATTTTTCCACATATATTTTGATACAAAGTATATTGACTTATAAAATAATTTACTAATATTAGTTTTCAAAAAAGCTATTTTATATTATCCAAAAAAAAAAGAAAAATCTTTTTTGTTGTATTTTTTTTTATTCAATTTGGTTTTTACTAATCTTTTTTTTGCTCAAAATTTCTCTAAAAATATATTTTTGGTAAAATAGTTCATGATTAGTAAAATAGGATATAAAGGGAGATCATATAAATTGGTTGGGGACGCTCACTCTCCTTATTCTTCCATGAGTACACTAACGCATCCAATAAATAGTTGGATTTGAATTTAATATGTGCACATAAATTTAATTTTCCTTATAAAATTTAAACTACATTTTAAACTTATTTCATAATATTTACTTAATTGTTTTTTGCATGTTATTCTATAAATATAACATTAGTCCAGGAGTTGTTATAACTGAAATTACCGCAGGGAATGAAGAACTTGATACTTATAATAAATTAAAAGCCGAAAATATCGCTGATGCTATATTATATGCACTTGGTGCTTCACCACATGTCAATGTAAGTCTATTCTAATTTTCAAATAAACTATCAATAAATCGTGTAACACATAATTATATTGCATTCTCTTAGGAAAATTGAGAATAATTTATAGTTTCAATACAAAAAACATATCGGTTGGGTCGTAGGACAGTGGGGTCGTGGCATAGTTGGGTCCAGTATAGATGATATCTGACAGTGATTAACATCACTATCATAAAAAAAGGCTTCGATACAAATCTGTATATAGTGTTTCATTTTAAAAAATTGAGTGATTATATTAAAAGCTATATGATCTCCTATTTCGTTATTTATATCCTGATTACAAGTTTAATGATTTATAAATATAGTATATGAATAAATATAAAGGGAAATGTTTTTATTAAAAAAAAAGTATGTCGAATAAAAGAGGTATATAAATAGTATTTATCATAAAATAATTGTATTGATCCATATATTTATCAAAAAGTTATAGCATTATAAAATGAAAATATAAAAAAGAATTTTTTTATAAAAATATTATTTCATTATTAATTTCAATGTTAGTTTTTACCATGAAAACAAACTTAAGTCTGAAATTTTTCTTTTTTATTTCTAAGTATATTATATAAGCTTTAATTTAAGATATTAAATATAAAAGTGTCAGTATTTCTGGAACACTTTCAAAAGTTAAGTCGAAAAAGTAATTTTTTTATGAAAAATTTGTCATTTTGATTCCTCCTCTGTGGACCGTTAAAGGGTCAGATTTATAAAAAAAATATATGATAGGTAAAGATATTGTGCATCTATTAAAAATTATATTAATTTGGTCATTTTAAAAAAGTTATGTCAGTTTTAAGTAAAAATAATTGAAAAAGAATGTCGAAAATTAAGGATTTTTTTGGAGATTTCCCCCATATACGGGGAACGAGTGAAATTTTTTTAATTTTTGAGGGGAATGTTATTGACTAGATATGATTTGTGATATTTTGACGTATCGTAGAAAGAAATCGGTTCGGTGACAGCTGAGAAAAAGTGGTAAAAAATACAAATTAAAAATTAAAAAAACACATCATAGTAAAATTAATACCTTCTCAGCTTCGCATCGAATCTAAAAAAATAATGCATAATAAAAAACGAAAACTAATATTAATTATTCTTGAGTATTTAAAGATTATTTGTTTGATATATGTATATATAGACTAGTAAAATTAGCAATGTTCGTTAATCCACATTTTTTATAGCATTTTTATCATTTATTAAATTTAATAAAGCAACAACAATTGTTTAATAGATTAAAAAATTCATTTTGTCAAGTGCATCTTGTGTTTTGATTATCACACGAAATAATATACATTATTAATCCCAACGTTGCGTATACTAAACAATTTGTTTTAAAAACTAAAAAAGTATTTTTCACTTTAACTTCATAAATTTTTATATGAGTACTTAAGTAATAAAATATAGTGAAAACAAAAAATTAGACTTTTCCTAAGGACTAATGGGTAAAGAAGGGTAAGGGTTCTCAAATTATGAATTAATAACCCCTTATTCTTCTATACATAATATTATTGTATTTGGAACTATATTTTTTTTGCTACGTAAATTTTTACTAAATGTCTTATAAAAAATAATTTTTGTTTTATTATAAGTAAATATAATTATTTTCATAGGAAACCTATTGTTTTAATTTGTGTTTATCAATCTCCTAGGAATTATTATGTCTAAAAAAATTCTGTTATGTTAAATGTGTTGTATTACTTATAGTTTAAGGAAAATAAAATATGAATAAATAATATTGATAAAATCCATTATTAGTTAATGGCGAAACTAAAATTTTAGGAATGTTAAAATTATATAACGTACGCGAAACCTAGAGGAACCTTTTATTTATATCACTATTACTACAACTTTTTATTACAGATGTATTTTGGATAGATTTCCCGTTAATAATAAAGAACAATAGTAATAAGTACATACATTTATTTGATAAATATTTAGTTAGTTTGATTGAACATAAATAATGAATCATTTAATTATTCAAATTTAATTGTATTATATAAAAATAATTAGTGTTCTTTAATTTGAGTCAAAAATGATAGCTTACTCATTTAAAGCAAAAAAAAAAAAAATTCAGCAAAAAAATTAACTAGTGTTAATTATAGATACTGGTACTAATAAAAAATCTGTCTACTATTAAAAATTTTCAGAAGAAAAAAAAATGTATATTTAAACACTGCAAAAAAGATAAATAATTTAAGCTTCGATGCGAAGCTGAGAAGGTATTGGTTTTACTAAGATGTGTTTATTTTACCCTCAAAAATTGAAAAAAATTCCCTCGTTCCCCGTAAATGGGGGAAACCTCCAAAAAAATTACAAATTTAAAAATCGCTAATTTTCGAATTTTTTTCAATTTTTTTTACTTAAAAGTGCCGTAACTTTTTCAAAAATGAACATATCAATATAATTTTTTTTTATATAGATGTGTAATATCATAACCTTTCGTTTGGTATATTTTTTTCATAAATTTAATCCTTAACCTGGCCACAAGGTGGGATTTAAAATGACAATTTTTTCAAAAAAAATTAACTTTTTCAACTTAAATTTTGAAAGTGTTCCGGAAGGTCTGACACTTTTATATATATCTTAAATTAAAGCTAATATAATATTCTTTATTATGCAAAAAAAAAATTTCGGACTTTATTTTATCTTCACGGTAAAATGGCTACCGAATGCTTTTTTTGTGTGAAAATTTTCGATTTTGTATTTTACATTTTTAACTTTATTATGCTATAACTTTTTGAAAAATGTATGGATCAGTACAATTTTTTCATGAGGAGTAGTATTTATATACATCTTTCATTCGACATACTGTTTTTTTAAATCCAACCATTTCCCTATATACGAGGGGGGTTCAAATCTAAAAAATGCATGTAGAAAGTAGAACTTTTTCAACTTAAATTTTGAAAGTGTTCCGGAAAGTCTGACACTTTTATATATATATTAAATTAAAGCTAATGTAATCTACTTTATTATGTAAAAAAAAAATTTCGGACTTTATTTTGTCTTCACGGTGAAAATGGCTACCAAATGCTATTATTGTGTGAAAATTCTCAATTTTATTTTTTACATTTTTAACTTTATAATGCTATAACTTATTGAAAAGTGTATTGATCAATATAATTTTTTTATGGGAAATACTATTTTTTAATAATCCCTTTTTCATTCGACATACTTTATCTTAATCAGGATATTAATAAGGAACTAGCAGTTTATGAAGCTTTTGGAATAATCCACCAATTTTTTAAAATTAAACACTATCTAAAGATTTGCATCGAAGCTTTTTTTTTTGATAGTGATTTTAATCACTGTCAGATATCATTATACTTGATCCATCTATACCACGTCACCACTGTGCCGCGACCCCCCTGTGCTGGGTTTTTTTATCCTTAGTTCAGGACATATTATCGAAAATGACATGTTTTTGCACCTATATATAAAGCAGCTTCAATCTTTTAAAATCACATAAAAAAATTAATTTTCAAATATAATAGACATATCTGCTTACTGTTCCAGTATCAATTAGTTAATCAAAAAATAATTTATTCGTTACCAATTACAAATTTATGCAAATAGTTTCTAATTAGGTAGGTTTGCATTAATAGTTAAGGCTTATTTAATTTTAAATTATATATCATGAGTTTTTACATAATTAAGAATGAAAAACTCTTACATAAAAGCGACTGAAATATAAAATTTTTATGTTGTAACTGTTTGTTCATTGACAGACAAAAAATACCTATAATATATATATGTGTTTAATAATTATATAATTTAAGTTACCTTACAATCCAAAATACGCTGACAAAAATATAAATCAGAACAAAAATGTTATGCCTTTAGAATTGTTTTCTATTAATGTATCATTATTTTAAATCATATCAGCTCAATTAAATTATTTTACAGTTTATCGTAAAAAAATTCAATGTATCCATTGAAAAAAATAAATTAGTGATTATAAAATTTTTGTCATGCAATTTCAATAGATAATAACTTGTTAGCTATTTAGTTATTGAATGCAGTTGTTATCTTATATTGTAAATATATAAAATGGTCTAGATACTAACTGTTATCAACAAATCATAATTATATAACTAAAATAAATTATTATAGTAACTTTTGCTTGCCCTTGCATGTTATCGTCAATTCTACATTGCATAAAATTTAAATAACATACATTTTATTATTATTTTTGAGCAAATATTCTCATTTGTATGTCTGTATTGAGTACAATTTTCAGTTAGCTCTTTGGAAATATTCTAAGTTACTTGTAATCGAGGGTTTACTCAAAGCAGAAGGATTGGTTACAAAACCTCGCCATGAAAATGATAAAGTGTTGATAATATAATTTTATTCTGATCGAAGGGCATAAAAAGAAATTCTTATATTTAAATAACACCATTAAAAAATTCTGACCATGTACTGAATTTAACTACTTGCAATAAATCAGTAAAATGACGACTAGTACTCGTACAGGATTATCTTCATTTAGACGATTTTTTTATCTATTAAATGCAGTGCTTAATATATTATCAAATTATATAACGTAACATATTTAGTACATACATTTTATTCATTATGTTAAATATTAAAATTTTTACCATATTATTAAATGATAAAAAATAAATCCTATCCAACATTTTCAGAATAATCATAAAAATGTCAACTGCAAATATTTTTTACTAAATAATTTTCCTTTAATTTTATTATTTCTGGCCTGTAACTTAATGAGTAACAATAATAAAATTGTTTGATAATTTGAGACCTAAATTTAAATTTAAACCAAAACCAGGTGGCCTTATATTTTTACAACATCTGACGGATAACACAATGTCAGATGATACAAGGGGTGGTCAAAAGGTGATTGCGTTACTAAGGCGCATGGCTGATAGTGTGTGTGTGTAGTGCCACCGCTTTGCTATCGATGCGCTCCCGGACCAGGCGCCCATGCCGCGCGTACTCACGACGTCCCGCCACCGTTTGAGCCGTCAAAACGTATAGTAATCATTGCGAACCGAACGCGCCAAACGTACGACGCGATCCGACCGACAGAAGACGTGCTACGGACGTGTTTACCGTGTCGACAGTGAAGAGATGCGAATTTTTATTCCCCACATTTATGTAATCCGCACGTTTTAATTATAACTTAATTTTGCGTTTTGTTAAAATACAGTTCGCGTGATTTTATATGTGTACGCGAGTGTCAAGAGTGTTAACGCGTACAAAACGGACGAGCTCTCCACAGCATCAGAGTCGGCCGTTAAAGCAGTACAACTATTACACAGGAAAGGAGACAATAAATGCAGCGTTTGTAGGACAGGCATTTCTCGACAATGCGGAAAGTTCATTGATAAGGTCAATAATAAATATAATATGATCAAACAAATCACTAAACGTAGAAGTCAGTGTAATTCTCTGAATCAGAAACAACGCCCCCTTTTCACTAAGCTTTTAAAAATAATAATATTTGATCTGAAAAACTGTATAGGTCATATTTAAAAATCAACAACTTTTAATTTAAATGATAAAAAATTAAATAGATTAAAAAATGTCTTTAAGTTAAAGTAATTTTTACTCGTTATACTTACTCAAACAGTAGTTACCGATCTCAGAGTTGAATACAAAAAGAATGTTGCAACTTTTACTGTCAATTTCAATTTAGTTGACTAGTAAAAAATAATAACACAAATAGACGCAATGTTATTTTATAATTCATTTTTCAATTCAAGAATACTAAAAAATTATTTATACGTTTACAATTAGACCACGTCAAGTAGAATGAGTTTAGTTTGGTTGTCATGGCTATTAAAATACTAATAAAAACTAACGTATACGAATAAGTGATCGCATGGCAAAATATATACGTGATAACTAGTTCGATTAAAATTTTTCTTTAAAATAAAAACTAATAAATGTTTCTTTTTCTAATTATGTAAAACAGCACTTTTAAAAATGGGTCAACGCTTACAATTTAAATTCTAATAATTAAAGCCAATTACATTAGGTTGAAAATTTAAAATATAATTTATTCATATTACCACATACATTCAATTATTAGAACACCGTGTATTAACAATTCTGCTAGTTTGTAATAGTACATTTATCTCAAAATTTAAGTTTTTATTAATTATGGTAGATTTTTTAAAGCATTAACTATAGCTATTTATCTTTAATTCTTACACATTTCTGTTTCGCACGTTGCAGTTTATTGCACACAAATTCAAATATTCACAATAACACAAACCATATTGATTACCTCCAAACTTTCCACATCACTATCCAAATTATTGCTTCATTACAATTTTAAAATAAATTTACTTACAATGGTAGATAATTAATTATAAGGATTCTTACTAATTTTTTTAACTATTTAAACTNTATTGATTACCTCCAAACTTTCCACATCACTATCCAAATTATTGCTTCATTACAATTTTAAAATAAATTTACTTACAATGGTAAATAATTAATTATAAGGATTCTTACTAATTTTTTTAACTATTTAAACTCTACATTTTGCCAATCAATATGAAAATGATGTTATAATAACTAATGATTAAGAAATCCGGAGTAACGCTCAAATATAAACACTCAAAAATAGAAAAACATTTTATTTCTGTAATGTATTTTAAAATGTAAAAAAAAAACTTATTTTTTGATATACCATAATAACGTACTATTTAGCATAACATAAAATGGAACATAATTCAAGGTAATATGATAGCACACTCAAAAATTAATATTAGAACATAAAATATATTTGTATGGAATTTTGTTGGAGTAATTTAATTTTTTTTACATTCCACGGTTCAAACATCAAACTGCGATTTGATTTAAGCAGGTAAAAACGAGGTAGTCTAAACAAATTGACATTGAAGGGTGGCATTAATAAAAATTAATTTGGTTGAATGTTGTTTTAGTAATTGATACCATAAGTTCACGCAGCAAAGATATACCTTAAAGCTATTTAAAAACTAACGCATTAATACAAATCATATTATCTTCTAGCCATATTATACCTATTTGTATAAAACTTACATCATTGTGTTTATTTTGTACCGACTGTATTTACACTTTGAAGGGGTTAACGAACGATGGTTTATTTATATTGTTGTACCAAAAACCAGTTCCACCCGTGGCGTTAAGCTTATAATATGTAATTAACTTTATAATACACCTTTGGGAACCACAAAGAAGTAAATATGTATTAATTATCTCTGGGTTCTTTTCGAGTTTTGACCAGTAGTCATATGTGTCAAGAAAATTGAGTAATTAATTTTATTTTCCCGGTAAACCTTACCCTTTAATCTTGATATCCACATGCTTATTTTTTTTTCATATCAAATGAATATGATGGAAAACGAAAACTAAATACTCATAAAACCGAGTACCCATTTTATCATCAACATTCTGTGAGTACTTTTAGTGTTTTTTTGTGATGTCATATAACAAAACAGACATTATTCTTAAGGAATTGAATACTTGTGCATTCTTGTATTCAATTTTATATCAAAGCGCACATTCATTTTAATGAAATTCCTCAATAAGTTTTCAACAGAGTATCATTATTGTATTTTTACACGAGTGTGTTGTTTCTAAAAATATTTAACGTAGGACGTATGACGTTGTAATATTGCAATTTAATCATAGGGAAATGCATTTAAGCCGATCCCTCTAGCTTTGTAAGTTACACGATAAATTATTGTTATGCAATTTCTTGCTTAATTATATTAAAATAATTTTGAAAAATTTCATGCTAAAGAATCGATGAACCAATGAGTTTTCAAACGGTATCGCGTAATTCTGTTGTTTAGTGTGTGCTAACACAAAACAGAAACTTCATTGGATGTATATTGTAACTTATACACCATTCATCAAGTACAATACTTTTGTTTTATGTGATTATTATTAACCGTTCGTCTTTACATATAGCTATTATTTTTTCCACAACTCCTTCTCGTCATAACAATAAGACCACACGTACAGTGAATGAATACACGATGGCTGTGTGTTGTATCGAATGCGTTTAAAATATTTCTGGATAGTTAAATCAATACAACTTGCGTTGAACTTGAAAACCATCGAATTGTAGTGTTACACATTGAAATATTTGCACATAAAATAATAATAATATTTCGAGTTAAAAAGTAACGATAATTGTTGTTCTGCTTGATTGAGCCTATTTGACGTAATGACCTTGGTAATGTTTTAAGAGACTTTTAAAAAAACCGCCAAATTAGCAATTTTCACGTATGGATGATCTAAATCGTACTTTGTGCATCATAGTTGATAATGAATATTTCATATTCTTCCCGTTGTGAACTTCATGTATATATTAATTACAAACGACTGTATCTATTGTTTGCTATTTCTACACTGAAATGACATGAAAATAAATCATTCAAATAAGCTAATAAGTATGCACTAGTTTAGTTAATGTGTAAAGTACTTTATTTTTCTATCAATTTAATTTGTAACTTATATACCACTTTTTTCAATTTTCTAATTTATGTATAAATTTTTTCGTTTCAAAAATAACTGATCTGACAGTCGTGACTTGTTTTGTTTTCAATGTCTTTAAATTAATAATTTAATAATTAATCTTATTTTCGTTACACCAATTGAACTCAATTGTTGTGCAAATAAAAATTTTAAGATGACACGTTTGCTTATGAGTATCTTTTAATTTTAGACGTAGACTTAAAACTCTGGATACTTGAAAAAAACCGGTTAAACTAATATGTATCAAACTTAAACAAATTATTTGGTCAATTTATACGACTATGGTGAATGTCAATTAATAATTATGTAAATCAATAGACTATTGTTTTTTTTTTTTTTATTACATTATTATTCATAGCTGTTACATTGTATACAGTTTATTCAAATAAAGATATAATTACCAAAACACTATTATATCACGTAACTCTTGTATAATATAACAATTTCCAATAGGGAGTGAAAAAGAGTTCAACCTGACACCCAAAACGCATCATATTATACTATCATCACACCAATTCCATAACACACCGTGTTTGTAGTTAAAACAGCCACTTAAGGAACATTAAAAATATAACACACAATTCTCTTGTAAAGGTTATTTTATTTTGGAAACAGCCTAGTTAGACATTAGTCTGTTACCAAACTGTGCAAAACTATTCATATAAGATGTATACAGAACTAATTACAATACTCATTGTTCATACAAAAAATCGTTGTAATATTACTATAGTAAAATTAACAAACTATAAATAATAAAAAAAAAACATTACTACAACTTATCCAATGAGATAATGTAACAGTAAATTAAATTATAAATACATAAAGACTCACGACCTAATGTTTTGTGTTAAGAACGAAGATGTGACTAATTTAACTAACAAAGTTTTTCAGTGATGTAAACAAATTTTGTACAGTAAAAATAACTTATTTTCGAATAAGCCCGTTATTTAGTCGTAAATTAATCGTCAAGAATTCTCATTGAATTAACAGTATTAATGAAATGATTGTTTTGAATAGCTAGTCAGATTTAAATTCAAAAGAAATTCTTTTACAAGAAATAGTTACATACATACATATGGTTTTTGCAGTTTTCACTCTGTAAATAATTTTGTATTTTAATAATTACCTTTTTAAATTTAAACTTTAGTACCTATTAACATGGCTGATTGTTAGTTAGTAATAACCTTTTATCAAACAATAATCATTTAAAATTATATTATATTAAAATAATATTTTAATAAGTAATTAAACATCTATTATGATATCAAATAATTGTGTAATAAGAGAATAAGAAATAATCATTTTCCATAAAAACTGAGCCAAAATCTATTTGATAGTATCTAAATATGAATCTTAAATTTTATGTATATTGAATATTCTGCAATTATAAGCTACTAAGTTTAATAACTTCATCATAAAAATATGGATTTAACAATTGTGTATAACTTCCTTCGTTATTGTAGATGCATTATACTTTTGCTTGAAAAATTATTCTGTAGTTTAATATTATACTTCACAAATTTTGATAAAAAACTTGACGGAAATCTTCTTTACTATTTTATCCACATCTCTCTGCAAAAAAAAAAATCCGTTCATTTGAGGGGACTACGAATGTTTCCGTGGGTATTAAAGGTCCAACAACCCTCACACACAAACTACGTTTAAATGGTAAGCCATCAGCTTTAAAAAATCGTCATCAAAATATTAATTAGTGAGACAATTTGCTATCTCTAACCTTGAAGCTATTTTATTTGGTAGCTTACTGTTATCAGAGTTTTACTGTTTTAATTGTTCATTCCAACTTTGACACAACAAATTCACGAAATACATTATAATTTTATGAACCTCACTTC